GGATATGTGAAACGTAAAACTACATTACTTAGCACTACTATAAAGCAATTACATGCCAGCTATACGTGTTTTTTATTTTGTAAATAAAAAGTCATGAAGAGAAAGAGCTATTTTCAGGAAGGATTGGAGTTCTGGTGTTAGAAGCTGTCCTCTTACTGAGGATGTTGGATTGCAGTCAGTAGCTACCTCTGACTTTGTCATTTTTGGTCTTTCTTTCTTAGCTAGGCAAGAGAGAGACCTGAGAAGAACAGCAAAAAACAAGCAAACAAACAAAGGTGTTCTGAGGCTTCAGTTCAAGGACATCTATGTGTTTTGTTTAGGCTGTTAATTTGGAGCTTCTTGTTTTTGTGCCCTTTGTACTTGCCGTGTTCTTTCCATTAGTATCTTATGTCATGTTGATGTGTTATTGAAATTGAGTGCATGGTGTTTATTCCAATGCTTAAAGATTTGCTGTGCATACAGAACTGGGAGTACAGCCCTACAGCCTATTTGTGCACAGTCCGTGTAAATCAAATAGCGTGCTTAGCCTGAGAATATTACTGTGGGTTACTGTGCTGTAACCTAAACTCGGGAATATTCTGTCAGAGGGAAAAACAGCTTGCTGGATCTTGTCAGCTGTGCACTTAGGGAAGTGAGGGAGAAAATGATCAGATAACATCCTTATCTGTGAAGATCCAAGAGAACTGAGTTTTCCATATGCACAAGCTACCTGAAGGTATTGGCAGCAATATCTAGTCCAAACAAATAAACAAAAATCACTCAGAAGTAAAAGAAGAGAGGTCAGAGAACAGCTTCTAAAACACCAGAGGATCCTGGCCAGCCTGTACATGCTCACTCACAGTGCTAGCCTGTGTAGCCAAAATCTCTTCTCTTTAGGTGTGTAAAAATGACAAGTTAGGACAAGGAGGGTGCTAAGGTCAAAGCTGGGGGAAATGCAGCTTCTTTCACACTGATTTCCTGTGGAGAGGCCTTGGAGAGAGCCCCTCAAAGGTAGTTTTCCCTGTCTCAACTTGTAACTGGAAGGGGGGTGCACGAGAAGAGCTCTTGATTTATTTCCTATTCAACACTACATTAGTCACCACATGGTTGTGGAGAGCTGTTGATTCAGTTTAATAATTTAAGTCTCCCTGTTTTGTATTTTGATCTGTTAGTGAATGAGTTGCTCTGGCTAGGCCATGAAATACTGCTTTTTTATCAGCTTCTTGACTTGGCCAGGAGAGAGACTCATTTTGTCTAATATTAGATGTCTATGCCAGAGTCAAGAGCATAGACTGTCTTTATACTGAATGGAAAGAAATGGGGGTCTTACAGTGCACAATTCACCTGATCTATTTTAAGCATCAGTATTAGAGTAGGGTATAGTCAGACACCTGAACATTGCCTCCTACTGACTCTTAAGTCTAGACAATAAACTCACCAAGTTTAGCTGAAGTGTATTTATTTCACCTGATTAAAGAAGGTTTTTGTAGCAAGGGAGCACTGAGTATGCTACCAGATTCCTCAGAATCCTCACTAAAGCCTTACAGATACACTCTGCATTATTTACTGGGGGTAAAATGTATGACCTGTCAGTGAGAAAAAGCCTGGTGTTTAACTGGGGTTGTCAATCACTTCAAAGAGAACTAAGGCTGCAGTGGTGGGGGAAGAATTCCCTGGTAAGGGAAAGTTTCAAAGACTCTTCAGATTACTTTTCCCCAGAAACAAGCCTTGCTGTTTGCAAGTAACTCAAGTTTATCTATACAAGGCTGCACCATAAATTCAGTGGTTTTATTACTATTTTCTGTTATACAGGAAATTTGAAAAATATTAAGTTCTTTTACTATTATTGAGATAATGAAAGGGTTAAATTTAAGAGGACATTGAATTATTGTGTTTACATGGTAACACAAGTTCAGTTCATAGTGGGACGTATCTGATACACTAGATATGTCATTTTGTGTTTTGATAATAATGCATCGCTTATAAGTTTTAAATTTTTTTTGTCTTAGTTTATTATCAAGTATTTTTGCTTTCTTTTTAACACAATTTTTTTATTGAGGGTAATAGCAAGCTCAAAATACAAAAACCCCTAAGTCAAATCTATAGTATTTGGTTATCTCCCTATGGGGGGGGGGAAGAAAAAAAAAAAGTTTAAATATTTTAACTCATTTAAAATTAGGTGCAAAAAAATCAAATAAGCTTATGATTACACCACCACACCCTGTTGTCCAGGGCAAATCTGGGCTACCACCAACAGCTGTAGTCTGCTCATTCACACTTACCCATTCCCATTCCTTCCCTGGTGTTAACACTGATATTTGCACAACTAGGCTGAGAATCAAATCAGGGTATCTTGCTGAAAAATAACTGCAAAATTTTTGTTGCTTTTGTTTAAGCAGTCTTATACAAGATAAAAGTGATTGATCTGAGATAGCAGATGACATCAGACCTAAATCTGCTTTTTCATCCTAGGTGCTTAGATAGTCAGTATATTTGAACAAGACAGACAGGAGAAATAAGGAAGTTCTGTTAGTTCCTCCAGTAGTTACTCTGCAGATGAGTAAGACAGTCAGACGAGTAAACCTAAGGGTGAGACCTCTCAGCCACCCAGAATGCAAGCATCCAGCTGGGACTCCTCTTGAGTCCATCTATGGTCAGTAGAGAAAGGCACCTCCAGAGGGCAATCTCTTCGCGTTTTAACAAAAATATCTAGGATGAATAGAACAAGTCACCCTATGGAAATACCTCTCTACACAGACTCTTGAAAACAAGGCAACTAACTCAGGTTAGGAGTGTAGCTTTTCAGTGTCTAACATAGGGAAAGGTAGACCATTTTCCAAATGGCTTGCTATGTTCACAGAGGAAGTGTTTGGCAGAATTAAATTTCCATAGTCAGTTCTTTCTCTGCTACCACAACCATTAGCCTGTCCTCTTTTTCTAAGATAGAGCTTGCTTTAATTATTTCTATCACTTAAATGTGATAGAAAGGGAAGGGAAATGTGAACTCTAATTAGACTTCCAGGTTGATGTGGTGGAATTTCAGAGACTTTTAAAGCTGCGGGAAAAGAATGGATTATTTTTGTCTGGCCTCCTATATAATACAGATTGTAAAGAATGTTTGGTTATTCTTGTTTTGAGTCCCATGATTGCATGGATCTAAAATAAACTTGATCTAAACTTAGAATTTCAACCTTTGAAATTTTATTTTGACTCTGTTTCAGGAATGAACTGTATTTCTTTGGGTTTCTGTTGTGAGTAAGTTTCAGACTGGCCACTTTCACCATTATTTCTTCGTGCATTGTGAGTCAATGCTGAATCATCTTCATTTCAGTCAGCAGTTGCTAAGCTTTCCAGCAGTTGTCTCTCTAACACCTCTGATTCTCCATGATTTCTGAGAAAATCTAGTTGATACAAGTACTGAACGAGGTGGCCCCAGCCTTAACAGCAGCCCATAAGACAAATGTCTTTGTGACCATACAGCTAGTTGAACTGTTGGGAAAGTAGGACACACAATTTTTTACTAATCTGAAATGTTAGACTAACTAAAAGTATCTCTGACAAAGTTTTGACCCCTTCCCCCCTTCCAACCAGTATTCATTCATACAATTCCTGGGCACAATTTGGGAATTAAGACAGGCTGGTGACTGGTTCCAGAAGGCAACATAGGTACAACTGCACTCTATTGGAAGATGACAGAATTTAATAGAACATAGAAGAATACTTAATAAAAAGACGGGCTATTTTTTGGCCAGATGGTTTCTATGCCAGAGAAATAATCCTTTCACATTTCATTT